CCCTCTCTCTCTAAAATCAACAAACATATCCTCAGGTGAGAATTAAAAAAAAAAAGCAAGCACTAACTGGTTTGCTCAGTGGATAGAGCGTTGGCCTACAGACCAGGGTCCCGGGTTTGATTCTGGTCAAGGGCACGTACCTTGGTTGCAGGCTCCTCCCTGGCCCAGGCCCTGGTTGGAGCATGTGCAGGAGGCAACCCATCGATGTGTTTCTCTCACATTGATGTTTCTCTCTCTTTCTATCTGCCACTCTCTCTAAAAATCAATGAAAAAGTATCCTCAGGTGAGGATGAACAAAACAAGTAAATAAATAAGACAAATCCCCCAAATGTGGTTTCTACCTGGGAGAGGTGGGCTGCACAGCTGGGGTGGGGGCGTGGGGTTCCTGTGGGGGTTCCTCCAGCTTGCAGACCCTCTCCTTGTCTGGGAAGCTGGGAAGGGCAGGCAGCGGCCTTAAAAACCCGCACCACTAAGACGGCCTGTATTCCATCTTCAACCCCTCGCGAGACAGCAGAGGCGGTTGCCATGGACAGTCACTCACCAAGCGGGTCAGCGGGGCCCCAGCCCCCAGGGTCCGGAACCGGGCTGTGCAACGCCCTTGACCCCTCTGTGCCCGTCCGTGGGCACCGCCGCCCTCAGCGTGCACTTACCAGATTAAAATCCAGGGCCGCGCCCGGGCCCAGCACTCGTCTGTATTGGTGCCGCGAGGAGTCAGTGGCTTCTGTAGAGTTGATGGATTTTGTCTCCAGGCAAGTGCAGACAGGCACACGCATCCGTATCGGCTGCTATCCATTTAGCCGGGCGCGCGTGGGCCGAGGAGCTATCTCACCTCGATCCCCGCAGGACTGATGAGGAGGGAGTGAGAACCCAGTCGTGAACCGGCCATCAGGGAAGGACCCGGACCACGTGCTGGGAGTTAATGAATGCGTCCCTCCCCCTGAGAGAGACTGACCCCGGGCCTCCGCCATTCGCAGTCGATCAACAATTGCCGTGCACGGATCATCCATTAGGAGGGGATGGCAAGAATTCTTTTTTAAGCAAATCTGAAGTTGCGATGGGTGACCTAATCCCGCCACGGGAATGGGGGAGGGACGAAAGCATCATTTTTCATAGCAGCTCATGGATGGGAAAGGTCCGTGCCATCTGCCTACACAAACGGGGACGCTGCGAGGCGCAAATGGGGTGGGAATATGGGGTGGGAACCTATTATTCTGGCACTTCCTACAAGATGTAACAGTCCCATGAGGCGGGCGTCACCATCCTCCCCATGACCCAAACGAAGACCGGAGCCCAGAGAGTTCATGGACCCATTGTCCCAGGAAACCAGATGATGCCATCGGAGCGTGTCCTGACGCCTGCATGTGCCAGGGCTGTGGGGCGTGTCCTATGCATATCCACCCACGCACTCTTCCCACAGCCTCGGGTGACAGGTACGTTGCCATCACGCCCATGTTGTGTGTTTGTGTGTGTGTGTGTGTGTTTCTAGTATGTTTATTATTGATTTCAGAGAGGAAGGGAGAGGGAGAGATGGAAACATCCATGATGAGAGAGAATCATGGATTGGCTGCCTCCTGCATGCCCTCCATTGGGGATGGAGCCCCCAACCCAGGCATGTGCCTTGACTGGGAGTCAAACTGTCATCTATCTCCTGGGTCATAGGTTGATGCTCAACCTCTGAGCCATGCCGGCAGGGCTATCATGCCCATTTTGTAGACAAGAAAACAAAGGTTTGAGAGGGTGGGCAGCCTTGGGGTCACATGCAGAACCAGGACTCTGCAGCTGGTCGCAGATGTGGCAGAGTGGGGGGCGCGGAGGGGCTGTCTCTAACTGTCGGGGAGGGCCTGGTGGGATGGCTGCGGGGACTTGGTGCCTCCTGTGGGACCGGGACTGCGGTGTGAGAAGGGGGCATGGGGCTGGAGGACAGGGGGACCCCCATGCTTTACCTTGTTAATAAGAGAGAAATGAGAGGCCCGGCCGGCGTAGCTCCATGGTTGAGCATCGACCTATGAACCAGGAGGTCACAGTTCAATTCCCGGTCAGGGCACATGCCCGGGTTGTGGACTCCATCCCCAGTGGGGGGTGTGCAGGAGGCAGCCGATCAATGACTCTCTCATCATTGATGTTTCTCTCTCTCTCTCCCCGTCTCCCTTCCTCTCTGAAATCAATAAAAATATATTTTTTTAAAAAAATAAGAGAGAACCAAGAAACGGGCCTTTCTCGTGCTTCCCCGGGATCCATCCGGGTGGCTCAGGCGAGCCAGAGAGCCAGGTGTACTCTGCCTGGGGCAGCC